TGTTGTTGTTATTGTTATTTCCGTTTTTTTTCTGGTCATATTGAAATTGGAGATCAGCGGAAAGAGTTTTATCAAAATATTATATTTTTATTGTATTATTTATTATATTATCTAATTAATAAACAATTTTATTTATATATAAAAATAAAGAAAATTTATTTAATAAATTATATTTAATAATAATAATAATTTATATATTATTTATATATTAAACTGATAATAAAGTTTAAATATATTATAAATTAAGTATAAATATAAATAAGTTTCTAGTTATTAGTCATTAGAGTTTTAACTATATTAAAATTAGAAACTTTAATTTAATACAGATTAGATTATCATTAAACTTATATTCAGTTTAAATAAATTTAGGTAATAATTATTTTTTGACTAATTTTAAACTTTATTTTTTTTTACAAATTTTTAATATAATATAATTATTTAATATGTTACCTAAAAATTAATTAATTTATTTAGTTTGTTAATATTCTTTAAGATTATTCTAAATGTATTTAAGATTTTTTATATAATACTTGTATTCTAATAATTTTTTTTATAAAATTCTCTATGCATTCTCTATATTTTATGTAACTAAATAAGTTTTAAGATATATTTATTAGAAAATAATTTGATAACTGCAATATATAAAATTTTTCATTAAATAGTTAAAAATAAAAAAGAAAAAGAACTAATAGAAATTTATATTTATTTATATATTATATATATTTTAATTAATCTTAATGTTAATTATAATTAAATTTTATATAACTAAAGTTATTTATCTAAATTTCTTTTAAATTTAGCAAAATGTTTAAACTTTAATTCATTAATTTTTTAATATAATTTTGCATTTTTATAAGCTTTGATATAATTTTACTTTTTTCCAAAATTTTGCTAAATTTTACCTTTTATTATTTAAATGATTTGTAAAACTTTTAAATTTCATCTAGTAATTTTATATATAATGTAAGATTAAATTTATTATATCATTTTGTAAAGATAATATAATTAATTAAATATATAAAGAATATATATCTGCTTTATTTTTTAGATATCTTTATCCCTTAAATTATAAAGCAGACAAATTTACCTACAAACATAAAAAAAAGTACTAATTTTTTAATAAAATATAAATATTAATATTAATAATATAATTATTATATAAAAAATATATTTTAATATATATTTTATCAATTTTCTTAAAAAATTTTAAGTTTATTAAGAAGATTTTTTAATTAATTCAATTTTAAAATTAAATTTTAAAATATTTATTATAATAATTTTTTAAAAATTTTCTTAAAATTCATATGTTTGCAAACTAATTGAATCATTTTACTATTAATAAAAGTCATAAAATTTCTTAATAAATTATAAAAATTATAATAATTAAAATATTCTTTATAATAAATTTTATAATATTTTATTATAATTAATATTGCTAAAAATAAATATTAGGGAAATAGAAACTATTGTTAAGTCTAGAAAAAAAATTAACACTGATATTTGCTTTATCTAGAATTTTGTGTCATTACAAAAGCTAATCAGCATCGACTCAATTATTAAGTGGGCGGATACCAGAACATTTTTTCATTGTATATAGTCCTACACTTCATTTTAGACTAATTAATAAGATTGTTAAAAATCAATGATAAAATTTTTTAACTTAAAAATTTTTTAAAAATTACAAATTTTTAGTTTATAAGTAATTTTAAATTATTTATTATATAATTAAAAAATTAAAAATTACTTTAATATAAAAATTTTTTTTATAAATTATTAATTTCATAAAAGTAAATTAGAAAGGAATTTATAATAAATAAGTAAACAAATTTGCTTATAAAATCTTATAATTTAAAAAATAACTAAATAAATAGATAAAAAAAAACTTTTTCTGCTGATCTTCACTTCTAATATGACTGGAAAAAAATAAAAACAATAACAACAATAAGTCTAATAAGACTTACTTTTCTTCTCTAAATACCAATAATAATAATCAGCTAAAAAACAATTTCTTGAACCTTTTCAACAGTCTGAAGCTTCGTCTTTAAAGGATACTTTAACAAAAGGTGTATTTGTTAACATGAAATTTGACTCAATTATACTTTTATCTAGTGACAAAAGAAAGGCATCTGAGACTTCTTCGTCCTTTCCTATAGCCTCTTTAGATATAAACCAATTTTATAATATTACTGAAAATGGCTTTAATAATAACAAAAATAAAGTAAGTAGTATTCACCTTGAACGAGAAACAGAAGCTTTCATTTACTTTGCTTACTGCATTGCAAAACAAAGATGAATTGAGAAAAACAAAATGAAACATGTGATATATTTGCATTATATTATGCATATTTTATTAGTGCTTCAATATGTATTTACCCTGATAACTCCAATAAAAAAATTATTCAAATCAGTTTTACTTATACAATGAAGCTAATCATGCAATTACTCTTAAGCTTCTTAATTTGAATAATAGCACATTTTCACCCTTGATTACTAAATTAGCCACAAAATATATTCCTGAATTGTTGATCAGAATAATAGAGATTCTGATCTCTACTACAGAATCTAACTTGCGATTTACATTCTTCTTTTTTGAAAAGATCACTAAATGTACCATGTCTACCAAAAATTTATAACAACAAGCAACTATTACATTTGAAGAGAAAACTGATATAATTACTTTTAACAAATTAAATAGCTATTTCATCCTTAAAGATCTCGTTCGTATTTATCCTTATACAATATCAAATGAGAACATCAGAAAAAATCTCAGTTCTCTTTAAAACTTACTAACTTACCCTTAGATACTAATAGACGTCATTTAATTTTAATTAGCAATATGATAGAGGCTATTGCTTAAATCATCTCTAAATTATGTGCTAATTATCACAACTTTCAATATGCTATTTTTACTTTAAAGATAAAGAAATAATAGATGCTATCAAGAATGATGAAACTTTTTATCTTAATAGAAAAAAACTGATCTGAACAGACCTGAACTCAAAATATTGTTTTATCTGTTAAATTCCTGACCGTTAAATACAATAGCTATATTAATGATTTCAATCTTTGCAATTTTATAACTACTGAGCTCTAATCAACAAGCCCAAATTAACTGTATCTAATAAACTGCCACAAATAAGAAAGATCAATCAAACAACATTCCACCTACAAATAACACTGGTTCAAAAAATCCTAATATACCTTTTCAATCTGAAAATGTTGTTCCTAAATAACTGATTAACAAAACTAATTTCCACTCATTTTTTAATACAATAGATCCAAAAAACTGATTAACAATAAAGGGGAAGAGACTTTAGATACAAGTATCCATACACACGATTTTTGAGCAGATGACTATGAATACGATTATCATCAACCACATGATAAAAAGATCAAATAGAGTAACCTGATATGTTCACTAAAATTTTCAATCAACTTGAAGCTATCATAGGCCAATTAGCCAAAATGGATCATAATTTGTACTCTACTATTAAATGAGTAATAGTTGTTGAATCTGTTTTTAACATTGACATGCTATTACCTTACTAGGCTGAGCTACTTAACAAAGTTTTCAATGAAGATGGCATAGAAATAGAAGAACATACATACGTAGTCAGTTCTAATATTAAAGATAATATTGTAAAGAAACAAATTGCTAAAATTGCTTATCTTAAAGAAGAAAACCTCTTATTAAAAACTAATTTAGAAGACAACTTTCTCAAACTCAATAATGCAAGTTTGACTATCGCTAATATACAACATATATTTCAAACTTAACTTAAACTCATCTCTGATGCATTTATCAATATAGTTGAGGTAGTTCCACCATCTAACTATACTAAAGATGTTAATAGAGCTTTTACTTTACCTTTCCCAAATATTTTTAATGATTAATTATATAAATAATGATAACAGAGCTGGCCTCAGCAGCTCAAATAACTCAGAAAATACTAATTTACATAACAATTTTATAGATAACTCTTCAAATATTAAATTGTCTTATATCAATATTGCAACATACAACGTTTGTTTCTTTCTTCAACTATATAAACAATAATCATTAATCAACCTATATAATTTTAACAATTTAGACATTATTGGAATTCAAGAGACTAATTTTAAAATAAATAATGATGTTCTAAGTTTCAACAAATCGATCTCTTCTTACTATATTTCTTTTTTTAATTTCAAAAAACATCCAATCATCTAGTATAGGTATTGGACTTCTGATTAATAAATATCTTGCTAATCACATTTATAAATATAACAAAAATATGGTTACATTATATTTGTAAACTTTCAAATTTATAACAAATTTTGAATTCAATTGCTACATTTTAAGTTCAAATAAGACTTTGTGAAAATAAATGTATAAAGATACCATAAATCTGATTGCTGAAGCAAAAAGTTTCAACATAGAAGTTATTTTAATCGGTGACTTTAACACAATTCCAGATAGATCCAATAACATATCTTATACAAATCTATTTTTCTCACAGCTAGACGAATTACAATTCTTTAATATTTTTGACCTCCTATATGACAATACTAATTACTTCTTCTCCTCCTTTTTTCATTCAGCTAAATATCAACCTATTAGAATTGATCATATATACTTCTCTTCACTTATAGTAGCAAGTATCAATACTACAGATATGACAGCTGTTGACCTATATATTTTAGATCATTCAATAGTCTTTACTAATATAAACATAGCTAAGATCAACATCTGTAAGTTTTTAAATTAATGAACATTCTGATGTAAATCAGTTTCTGATGTACATCAATGTATATAGTACCATTCGTCAATACAACCAATAAACAATTAAATGATAATCATCACAATATATTAATAATGAACATTTAATAAGTATTTTATTTTCATAATTATAAATTTAATACTGTATATGATTTATTTAATTGCTAAATATAATTAAAAGGCTAAATCAATTGCAAGAAAAAGATCACACATAAGATAAAAAAAGAAAATGTGCGTCTAATTAATCATTCACAGCTTCATTACTCATCTCATTCTCTTCATCTGATTCGTTATTACTCAATATCTTCTGTTATTTATTTCTATCAGCCATTCATTTAGTTATTACCTCACCAGTAAGTACAGTGATTTGAATTTTGGGATCAAACATAAGTTCTACAATTGAAATGACAAATAAATAATTATTATTGGTGCATTCATTTTTTTTTAAAACTTCTCGTGTAATGTGATTAATATAAGTATCATTAGGGTTGTTTTCATTTTTATCAATCCTGTTTCAAAGATTTTTGTATGCCCATTTTACATTCTTAGACGTTTTCCACTCTAAAACTTCAGTTGATGTTGCCTTATGACCTAGATAAGCTCCTATAAATGTCTTTCCAAAAACATTCATTATGGCATTTTAAATATTTCAAATATAGCTTGCATATTTAATATGAAATTCATAATAAGCCTATGTGTTTATTTCAATAATCAAACTATCGTCATTATAGTCTTTGGTATATATTATTATTAAGTGAAATTAATAATTTACAATACTTCAGACCAATATTTAAGCTATCCACCTTTAATATTTTCAATTTTTTTAATCTCATTTGGATGCTCGCCATATAAATAGCTTCTTGTATACTATTATCCATCAGTTTGGAAAAGATCATTGCACACTTTTATAACAGTAGCCTAAATTGTAACATATACAGATGATCATTAGATAAAAAATTTTAAAAATAATGTTAATAAACACAATTGTATACCAGGATATTTTCTTTTTTACAGATCCTTTAATAATTTTGTCATTATTATTCTAGAAATTACCGTAAGTATTTCCTTTGAAGTTAATTAAATACAATTACTAGTAGATACTATATATTTATAATATAATTAATATAATTATTTTAAATATTTTAATGTATATCAAGCATGCCTGCCGGATAGGATGCATCATCTAGATCTTGGCTTATATAAGTATCAAATCGAATTTACACGAGATTTATTAAAAGAATGGTGTAGTGTGAATGGTGTAATTGAATTTAATAATCGTCTGAGAAAGATACCTCGCTTTCTGAACCTTAAATTATTCAAACATAGCCTAGGTAATATTAAATGTTTCACAGCAGTAAAATTTCAGGCAATAATACGCCAACTTGTATTCATTGTTAATAGCATCATTATTTTATTACACACTTCTAATTACACTGTAAATCAGACGAAGAGTATGGATAAAAAATTGTTCAGTTATATGTTAATTAGAATAAAATGTACATCTTTTTCTATAAAGACGAATTTACAGAATCAGATTTAAAGATATTTAAGGTATAGTATATTCAGTGTATATTATAATAATATATATGTTTGTATGTATTGTATATATATAAATTAACATTTATTCTATTTACAGTTATTTATCATCGAATGGGCTAAAGGATTTACAAAATTATTATTGTCATACTTACCATCACAATTGCAATTACTAAAATTGCATAATTAGATTTATCACACTATAGCAGCAATCACTGAATATGGCACAATTAACAACTTTACAACAGAAACATACGAATTCTTGCATAAGGAATTTGTAAAAAATCCTTACAGAATGAGCAATAAATATAATGCAATATCGCAAATATTACATAATGTAAGTAAAATCAATTTATCATGATAATTATATTATTAATAATATTAATATAATTTATTTATAATTAAGGTACAATGATAGAATATAATTAAATATTTACTTCAATTTTCTAAACTGACTACTAAAAATTTCAAATATGATCCTTTATCAATAATGAATAGTGAAATCGCTACCTTTAAATTATCACTATTTGATGAATTTGTTAAATCCTATAAATCTGTCAATAGTTTAGCATCAGAAGCATCAGAAGCATTTGATCAATTCTTATCAGCATTGAATAGGTTTTTGATCTTTATAAAGAATTAACAGAAAACGAAATGAGAAATAGAGATGTACTTGTGAAATAGTATAAATCTGCTATAGTATCTAGCGGTGACACAATTAGAGCAATCTCTGAATGGTATAATCAAGCAATTTTTGATAATATTTCAATCAATATGTGTAGTAATGAAATTGAGGATTACACTATAAATAACGGAATGTGTTTTGAAAAAGTAGGTATTGTTTTTTAATATTTAATAATAATTATAATTACATATTCTAATTATTCTTATATTTAATATTTGAAACATTAGGTATTGATGCTATGTTCTATTAAGATTTCATCATTTAATAAGCAATTTGATTTGGCTCTTGTGCAGTGATACGATTATAAAAATGCTATTGTGTTAAATAAATATGAATGTCTGTAGTTAATTCTAACTTCTTAATTTGAATTTATACCTGTAGAATCAGTTATAGAACCAGTACATATAGTACTATAGTTTATAAAGAACAACGAATATTTTGTAAATATTTTTATGTTTTAATTTATAGGATAATTTATAATTTATATATAAAATATACATTACTTATATATTGATATAATGAACATTAATAAATATTGCTTAATGTTATACATTATAGTTAAAACATTACTAAAACATTGATAGATGATGTACATTAAAATTTAATTACCGTTGAACATTACTAGCTTATTAAATAATAATGTATATTGCAATGTACAAAAGTCACTTGACTTCCTGATGAAATATTACCTTTTTTGTATAATAATCGTGTTATAAAAGTTATGTTCAGAAACTTTTGATAACCTTCTATTAATGTTTCGCACAGATTTGAATTGATCTGAATCTAATTTAAATCTGACAGATTATATTTAGATCAGATCTGTTAGATTTGGATCTAATTCAGATTCAGATTCAGATCAGATCTAATCTATCAGATTCAGATTTAGATTCAGATCTGATCACGTCAGATTTAGATTCAGATTTAGATCTGATCTATCAGATTCAAATTGGATTCGGATCTGATCTGTCAGATCTGAATTCAACTTTTTTAAAGTTAAAAAGTTCCTTTTCAATGAAAAGAGATGAATTTTCAAACTTCTTTTGAGCTAAAAATTTGTTTCTTTTTATTGAAAAGAAACAAATTTTCGGATTTCTTTTAGAACTGAAAAGTTCCTTTTATTGAAAAGAAACAAATTTTCAAAACTCTTTTAGAGTCGAAAAGTTCCTTTTATTGAAAAGAAACGAATTTTTAAAACTCTTTTAGAATTGAAAAGTTCCTTTCATTAAAAAGGAATGACTTTTTAAAACTCTTTTAGAGCTGAAAAGGTTCCTTTCAATAAAAAGGAAAGACTTTTCAGAACTCTTTAAAGCCAAAAAGGTTCCTTTCAATAAAAAGGAACGACTTCTCAAAACTCTTTTAAAGCTGAAAAGGTTACTTTCAATAAAGGGAATAACTTTTTCAGAATTTTTTTAGAGCTGAAAAAGTTCCTTTCAATGAAAAGAACGACTTTTCAAAATTCTTTTAAAGCTGAAAAGGTTCCTTTTAATGAAAGGAATGACTTTTCAGAACTCTTTTAGAGCTGAAAAGGTTTCTTTCAATAAAAA